ATACATTTTTAATAATTTTCCTAAAACCCCCTTATGAAGATAATCTTCAAGTGGTTGATGAGTGAGATATATGTGGAGAGATTTTGTCCTAGTAGTGAATGAAATTCGAATGTTAAAAAATGGGCCATAGAACAGAATAAAGAAGTTCAAGTTCAAAGTAGGCAGGAGGAGGAGAATTTAAGTACTCTAAATATATGAAAGTTTAATGTGTTAATAGGACATAATTGCACTTTTTCATATTCATGAAAGAAAGAATAAGAACAAAACAAAGTTTCATCATTATAAGAATTTTCTTCTTTGTGTAAGTTCAAATAGAAACCTCTCTGGAAAATTTTATAGACACACTGCTTTGACTCTTGTTGGTTATTATTGATTATGTTGGCACTTCACTCTTTACATATAATTTGATTCCCTTTGTCCTTCATTTTTCTCCAAGTCTAATTATTCCCCCTGTGTGTTGCATTGGTTATTGCCTCACTACTGTCAGTTTTATCTTTTTTTTTTCATAAATGCTTAATAGTTGGACACCTTTGTCTCCTAGCACTTTCTGTTCTCTCTCTATGACATGATAGTGTTTATTTGTAAAACACCTCAAAACTAAGCACAGATTCAACAGTTTTGTGTTGTAAAGCTGTGAAGTTTCACCTTACATCAAAAATGTAACTCAAAGGATGAACCTGAAGACCATCCTCAGTTGATAAGCCATCTGTTGGTTGTGGACAAAGTTGACACCCTTTTGCTCTAACATTATCTGTGAGAATATGTAGGATAGGAGGTTGACATAAAAAAAAAAAAAAAACTGGTCAAAAGCTCGTGTTTTTGAAAGTTACAGTAGTTCCTGTATGAGGTGAAATGTGGTGAAGTTGAAACAGGCTTTGTCTTGTTAGAGGCTTGCTTCGTGTTTGAAGAGACATTAACCTTTGTTACCTCCTATCAATAGTTTTATTCTTTCCTCTCCTATTCTGAATTGCTTTAGCTAAAAGACAGAGAATTTAGATTGGTAGAAATAAAAATTTATTTATGATGAGCAAAGGAGGCTGGATACACAAAAAAGTACATACTGTACAGTTCCATTTATATGAAATTCTAGAAGAGGCAGAACTATTCTATGAAAGTAGAAGGCAGATCAGTGTTTGGCGTAGGACCAGAGGTAGAGGAGATTGACTACAAAGGGGTCTGAAAGTACTTTTTGAAGTTTCAGAAATGTTTTATATTTTGATTGTTGTTATGATCTTATGGGTGGATATATTTGTCAAAATATATTGAACCATACATTTAAAGTTGGTGCGTTTTATCATATGTGCATTATACTTTAATAAAGTTGATTTTTTAAAAAGTATTATTTTTCAACAGATATTTATCGAGTGCCTTGTATTTGTCAGACGCTATTTGAGACATCAGGGACCCAGTGATAAACAACACAGACATAGTCCCTGCTCTTCTTCATAGAGTACGCATTCCTATAGGGGATCAGATCTTTAACATTAGGTAGGATAAGCATTAGGGCAAATGGCTGTGAAGGAGATAAAAGGAGATTGCTTGTGATAGGAGAAAGAGAGTGGAAGAGGCTATGGTATGTGAAAAAAAACTGAATGAAGTGATTGTGAGCCCAGTAATAATCTTTTTGAGAGCATTGCAGGCAGCTTTATTACTGAAGCTGACTGAAAAAAACAACTTACATGTGCTGCCACAATTGGATAACCAAACCCCATATTACATCTTCCTACTCTGCCAACTGGTCAAATAGCAGGGACAGGTCACTTTCCTAATGGTAGGGAGCTAGATGTGTATGCCTTAAAGGCCTGAGAGAGAGGATGCCCAGACTATCTAGCTGAGTGGCTTAGCCATACAAAACTTCTTTCCCAGGTATGCCAGTTGAATTACTCCTTCCGTGAGTGTGAGAGAAGTGGAGAGCCCTATGGGGTGCAAGTTTCGACTTCATTACCCAAGTTAGAAAATCTGGGAGGATATTTCCTCCTTAAATTTAAGATCATTGTCCCCTTGAATGATACTGCCTTGGTTCAAGTCCTTGCCTGCCACTTGAACTCGGTGACTTTGGCACTTTTCTTAATATCCCTTTACTTTAGTTTCTTTATCTGGAAGAAAAGGATAATAAAAAGATCTACTTATCTGATTGGAACTGTAGATAGATGTATCTAATTCCAAATTTTTTAGAATATAAGCCTAGAGAATTAACATGTTTTCTGTCAACTGTTTGTAATTAATTAGTAATTGGTAATATACTGGTATTTAAAACTTGTATCAAACCTAGAGATGCTTAGTAACTATATAAAAATGATCCTTTTGATCACACAGTAACTCCTGGCCATCATTGAGTAGTTTCTTTAGTTATCTTCCTGCTGTGTTGTTAGTTCCTTTATTCAAAGGCTGATTCAATTTTGGTTTGTTAGTATATCTTAAGATAGTAGTAGAAGTGAAAATGTGCCTTTTGGTGGTTATTCTGTTGGAATTTTATTTCACTCTTATTAGTTTCTGTGCTATAAAGAAATGCTTCTTTTTTGCATGTTTGATAAAAGGATGATGATGATCATGAAGGATATCTAACTAAGTCACTAGTTCATTTTTTTTAACATCTTATATGTATATGTACCCATTTTATGGTTCCTGAGAACTTGTTTTATAAAGTATGAGTATGTTGCTTTCATCAGTTCTTCCTTTAAGATTTTTTTTTTTGTTGGACATTAAGTCATATGTAACATAAACTTTCAGGTTAAGTGTGTTTAATAGAAGAAGGATATATGGGTAGTAGTTTTGTTGCTGTTGGATTGATGAAAAAACATGTTTTGCTTTTATTCTAGACAACCAGATGTTCCAATATTTTATTACAGTTGTGCCAACAAAACTACATACGTATAAAATTTCAGCAGACACCCATCAGTTTTCTGTGACAGAAAGGGTAAGTTAATTCCAACTGGTAAAATGATTTGGTGATTTTTTTTTTTAAGCCTTTCAAAGTTCCCTGACTACAAAATAAAGTTGGAGTTTTAGTTGGTGCCTTCCCCCATTTTAAAATTTGTGGGAGTTTTGAAATGAATTACTATTTTATTTTCAGTCAATAATATATCAGGAATGGGTATTAGTATGTTCTAGAGCAAGAAAAGAAGTAGATTTTTAAGAAAATCTGAATTGTTTCTATTCCATTAAGACTTAAATTTTTTAATCTATGATGGTATTCATTCTTAATGTTTTAATTTTGTAATATGCTTTCTCCTATATTGATATAAGCAGTTCTTAATCTGGCAGCAGATTCTCTGATTTCTGTGTTTTTTTTTTTTTTTTTTTTTTTTTTTTTTTTTTTTTTTTTTTTTTTTTTTTTTTTTTTTTTTGATGTGCTACCCTGAGGTATGCATGGTTACTGTAGATAGCAAATTTAGAGGGCTTGCTTTCCTAAATTAATGCTTCGTATTCATCTGATTGAAAGGAAGGACGTTCTCTCTCAGGGTGGTGTGGCCTCATATTAATAAATAAATATTGACAATGAGGAGCAGAGTTTTGGAATTGGACCGTTTAATAGATTTCTCATCTACTTTGGGGTCATGTTTTCTTATTTTTGTGTTTAAGAATGGCAAATATTAAAACATTTGTATCCTGAAGAATTCCAAGTCAAAATTTAAGTGCTTTTTAAAATTTGCTTCTCTCCATGTGGAGTTTTCTTTTGATAGTCTTATAACTTACGATGATCATGCCCTCAATAATCGTATAATTTTTCTTGTTCTTAGGAGATTAGGTATTGAAGTTTTTAGAGGTGAAGTGTCGTATGTCTATAAGTTTTCAATTAGGGGCGAAAACCAAGTTTATACAATTGTGTATATATGTATACGTATGTGTGTGTTTACACACACAGAGAGAAACTAGGTAAAGTTTATACAAGTATAAATTATGCTTTTTAACATTTCCATAGTGGTGGGGAGATACCATTTCTCACCTGTAAGATTGGCAAATACCTGAAAGACAGTATACACAGTCTTGATAAGGCTTTGGGGAAAACAAGTACACTTGCTAGGGGAATGCAAAGTGGTATAGTCTCTGTGGAGGGGAGTTTGGCAGTATCTGCAGAATGGCATAAGTATTCACCCTTTAACCCATTAATCTCACTTCAGTAAATCTATTCCAAAGATACAGTGGGAAAAATACAAAAATGATGGGTGTATGAGGCTATTCATTGTGTTGTTACCTATAATGGTAGAAGACTAGAAACAACCCAAATGGTACATCTATACAATGGAGCATGCAGCTGTTAAAAAAAAAAAAAAAGAATGAGGAATATTTCTATACTGTTATAAAATTATCTCCAGGATATATTTTTTAAATAACAAAATTAGATAGAAAAAATAGTAGAATCCTAGAACATTTAACCTTTGGGGAATGTGTTTATGCTGATAGGGTGACTCAAATAGTTGTCTCACTAAAAAAAGAAATAGAATTTCTAGAGTTGGTAAAGTTGGGATGAGGGCAGGGAAGGAGAGGGTTGACACTCGTTAGTGCTAGAACCCAAAGTGAATTATTATTAGTCTCTTGTTACATAAATGCCCTGATCTCTAAAACAGCTTCTACCCTTACAAGTAGTGACAATATATTGCTAACTTCAGTATGATGTTGAGCATTTTACAGCTTTCAGATAAAGTCACTTTACTAGAAACTTGATCAATGGGTTATAAAGGCTCAATTATTCTAATAATAGGGAAAGGGTTTTATAATGCCCCACATAAAGCTGTTTTAATTTCCCTTTGTAGTAGTTAACCTTATTATGTTTATTCCTAAAGCTTATAGCTTAGTTATAGCTAGGTAAAAATAGTTAAAGCCTGGCACAAAAGTCATAGCAAAGTACTCGAAGCATAGTTGTTGGAACTATAATAGAAATTTATTAAAATGTTTACAAACTTGATTTTGAAGTATAAACAGGATGGAATGAAATAGAATATATTTTTGCTCAGTGTGTACACTGATAAATTTTTAATTCTTGTTACACTCCTTTAAAAAACATCCTTTTTTAAAACTGAGCCAGTAGCTCAAATATTGATATCTTTCAAATTAATGCATTTTGTTTTCTTCCTATATTGTATCTCCTATAGTTTAAAATGAACAACAGAAAGAGAAATTGTTTTTAAATCTGGTCACTTAAATGGCAAGAAATAAATACAATTATTTTGTGAATTCTTGGCAAAGAAGCATTCAAAAAGTATGTCAAAGTATAAACTTAGTTTTTATTGATTTGATCAATGAAGAACATGACATATAAGTCTTGAGTTCAGTAAAAAATTTGTATGTAAGGTAACCGTTATGAGAAAATGGGAAAGAATGATTCCACTTTTTTGAGAGTTTCAAAAGCTAACCATGCAAAAAATACAGAATAATTTGTCTCTGAAGAGCTTAGTCTAGTAGGAGGTTTTGTGAGGAGATTTGATGTCCCTTTTTTGCAGTAGGGCTGAATATTGGGTGTTTGCAAGTAACCTGAGACATGAATCCTGTTTCTCTCTTCCTTCTATCTCTCTCCTTCCTTTTAGGAACGTATCATTAATCATGCTGCAGGCAGCCATGGAGTCTCTGGGATATTTATGAAATACGATCTCAGTTCTCTTATGGTGACAGTTACTGAGGAGCATATGCCATTCTGGCAGTTTTTTGTAAGACTCTGTGGTATTGTTGGAGGAATCTTTTCAACAACAGGTTAGCATTCATTTCTTTTTGGTCTAATTCCTGAATGTTACTTAAATTAAGGTGCTTCTACTTCAAAGGGGTAAGATATATACACATTTTCATGTTTTAATATCTAAAGAACTTTTTCTTTGTTATTTAATTCCAAAGCTCCAAAATTATATTGCCTAACCATTAAACATAAGTAATTTCATTGCATTGAGTGATTTAGGGGAGATTATATGGTGAGCTAGAAAGATCCTGGATGTTAACATTAGAACTAGAATTGAACCCAATTCCTTCTGGTTACTTACTTGGTGGTAGTTTTGGATAGGTCACCTACATTTTCTGAAATTTCCTGCACATGAGAAAAATAATACCTAATTTGCAAGTATGTTATAAGATTAAATGAGAAAATGCCTAGAAATAGTGGACACTTGAATGCAAATTTTCTCTTTCTTTTAAGGTATTTTTAACTGTACCGTATGTAAAATCATATCTTATAGTACTTTGAACTATGCAATACATGAAACTAGATTTTTAATCACTAATGTTTTTATGAGTTTTGACATCAGATTCTGGAATTCTCTCAAGTTATTTACAGAATTGTAATCATAAAAGTTGGGACTTTAGTACAAAACAATAAAGGAAACTGTCCTTCTTCATCTTTAGTCCCTTAGATTGAGCTAGATGGTTTATATACTTAAAGGCATATTTTTTAAATGACTGAATAGCTTTCCTTATGAAATGTTTTATTATTACTTTATTTAAATTTATTTAAATTTGTGGTGTTGGTATCATTTATTTTTCAAACTTGTGTGGTTGTGTGAAAACCTTGAAAAGATTGTGTCTAGGTCATGAATTATTTGGCCTTGTGATTTTGAAAAGAAATCCATTTGTTTTGAAATTTAACTATCTTGATTATTTTTAATAGTGGAAGTTAATACAAACTGCTTTGTTTCCTTCCTTAATCTATTCCATTATAATTAGTTGAGTTTTTTATTCTTACATAGCAATTTAGGAAATAATTTAATTAAAAGCATAAACTTATTGTTTGTTACAGGCATGTTACATGGAATTGGAAAATTTATAGTCGAAATAATTTGCTGTCGTTTCAGACTTGGATCCTATAAACCTGTCAATTCTGTAAGTGGTCTAGTATACCTGGTGGTGATCTCTAAATCATAGTATCATTGTTAAGTCTAAAGAGTAGCTTTTGCTATCTGGAAAGAATTGCCCAAAATAAAGCTTTGTGTTAGAGGAAATAGTGTAAGGAATAAAACTAATGCTTTGTGTTTTTTCCCCTTTTCTCCCTAGGTCCCCTTTGAGGATGGCCACACAGACAACCACTTACCTCTTTTAGAAAATAATACACATTAGCATCTCCCGAGTGAAGGAGAAAAACTTTTTGCCTGAGATATAAAACCTTTTTAATAATAAAATATCGTGCAATATATTCAAAGAAAAGAAATATGAATGAGAAGCAGGAAACACACTTATTTTAAAAAAGAAAAGGAAAAATAACCCCAAACTGAAATTCTATATATGTTGTGTCTGTTACAAATGTCCTAGAAGAAATTATGCAGCTAATCAGTGAATAAGCCCAACTGGAGTATTGCTTTGAAGATGACTCCTTCTGATACTTTCACAGCAAATGGGCAGTATGGAAATCAGACCTTGCTTCTTGGTGACAAAAAGCCTGAAGGAAAGAAGTGAAACCAAATCTAAAGAAAAAGGCATTGATAAGTGCAAATGTTTGCGTCCTTTTGTTTTTAAAGATATGATGTCAGAATAAAATATGGAAAACATATGGAAAACTAGTCTAGACTTTAAAAAATTGTGACCAGGTCACATTGTTAATGAAGAAAAACAGGGACTAGTCCCTATGTTATAGCCATATTAATGTTAAGCCATATTGACAAGACCACTTATCCAATAATTTGGTCTTATGAAGGTAACTGCTTTTCTTTGAACTCTGGTTGTTGACTTTTCTAACTAATCAAGATTAGAGTCTTAGAAGACTGATGTAAATTCTCACGGGCGGATACGTAGGTGCTACGATATGTAACAGAGATACCATTCACAGATTGTATAGTGGAGACTTATACAGGGAAAAGAAAGCACATTTTTTTAAAAAAAGATGCCAAGTTTCCTAATCTGATCATTATATTATTGGTATACTTTGGGGGATATGAGGTGGGCAATGAAAAGATCCACTAATGATGATGAAAATGATCAGTTTGTAAAATATTAGGGGGAAAAATAGAATATTTTATACATGTGGTAAGTGTGGGGAACAGGGTAATTTTAAATAAAATAGTGTGAGGAAATTTGAAGCACAGCAAGATAATGTCAGATCTGAGAGGTGCCATATAAATTAAACCATGTCCGTTAAACTGTAAAACTGGATTATGAAAGAAGTATTTGCATTCAGGGTGTCCTCAATGTGATTGGTTTTGTGTTAGATTGTGTTGTTCTTTCTTACTATTTATGGGTTGGTTTTAAATTTCCAGAATATAAAAGATTAAAAATAACGAGAGGGAGCTACCAGGTGCCATTAAAAACTACATTTGGAATATGTGTGCCAACATCAGTTTTCCTTTTGTAATGCTTAATAACAGTAGAAGAATCATCAACCAATGCCCACATTTTAAAACATTTAGGGAAATGGGGAAACAAAGTTCCAGGTAAGTAACAAGATCAAACGACTAGATTTTAGTCTTGAGCAAGTAACAAGACTAAACGACTAGATTTAAAATGGTGATTTTAGAAAATAGATGTCACAAATTACAGTTTTTCAGATGGCTATTTTTTTTAAAAGATAAAATGCTTTCTTAAAAACAGGATAGATAATATAATGGAGAGGAGAAATAGTGACAAAATTACTTTGTGATAAAGTTTATGTAGAATGATATTTTGCAAAAAGTAACAGAAGCATCTTTGTTTAAAATATACAGTATCATTAAGAGCCATGAAGTTAACTGATTAAGTGATACAACATGCTTTGAAAGATTTTTGAATCCAGGAAATTCCAAATAATGAATGAGCCTTCTGCCTTTTGATTTCTTGAGATATTATTTCCAGCAAAGTTAGACTAGGAACTAACAGAACATCTCACAATAAGAATTTTAGCTGGAGAGAATTAGAATTTTAGGTATTTTAGACTGAATTTTTTGGTCCTCTAAGTAGGCTTATTTGTGAGACATTCTATTGAGTTTTAGGATTTTTTTTAAAATAGGAAAAACAATATTATTGATTTAAGATTCCTTTCAGTTAGGATTGTAACAGTTAAGTATCTTTTAAAAGAATTCTAAAAATTCTTTTGATTCTTTTGATACTTATACATGATTTTTAATTCAATGTTTTCCAAATACCATATTAAAATTTTAAAGAAATTAATCTGTCCCATTAAAACTGACTATAAAAGGAATTTCTTTAAAGCAAAATCCTGCTTTGCCATTAATTTCCATTTTAAAGGTTAAGAAAGGATTCCGTCTGAAATTCTTCAACTAGGGTCAGATTTTTGGCAATGAAAGTATTATGATTCAGACTGGATGATGAAGTATACTTGCAAAATAGGATTTGTTAGGAGCTTTTGGCCTCACCAAGTGTTTCTTTTCCATTGCAGAGAGCACTTGACTGATTTAACTATTACGCAGCTTTCCTATGCCTGAGGTGTCTCCAGCCAATTCTTTTCATTTTATAAGGGTATTCATAATACCTATATGTATATATTCTAGACTACATATTTAAAAGTCCGAGACCTGAAATTAGATGGATTTTTTAAAAACTATGTTTACATACACTGGCCTACAAAGAAGATTAAACATTTAGGTGAATGATTGACTGCTGCAGTATTTGCATACTTCAGACTACCTCTTAGGAAAAGCTTAACGCAGTATTAACAAAATTACTTGAGTAATATAATTAATATCACTTTTCTCATATATTATAGCATAGAAATTTTTTATAATTTAATGCAAACAAAATTGGCCATCTTTAATCTTAATTTTGGAATTTATAAAGGAATGACTAAGAGCTCCTAATTTTTTAAGTGTAAGTAGAGATATGCTGTGCATTCTATCTTTTTATGTCTTGAATTAGTAATCAAGTACCAGAAAGTGAATTAATATGCAACTCCTGCTTTAAAATTCAGAGTTTATGCTTGAGTTCAAGAGGCATATTGTTGACTGTTTAAAAATTACTTAAATCTGAGCCTTAGGACCTTTAAAATTTCAGCATGCCTTTTAATCTAGTACTTCCTCTTCTATTTTGAGCTCTGCAAACCTTCAGCAAGCCAAAGTTGAGTCACCCTTTTTCAACACTATCAAAATAGAAAGGTTGCCATTTGTTTACTACCTTATGATATAATGCCTGGATAAATGCGTGGGTGTCCCCTTACTACAATTAAAGCATAGTTCTTCCCCCTTTCTGAAATATTTCTCTAGTGATGCAATTGCTTTGCATTTAAGAGTAGAAAACATGGCCTGGTATGGTGGCTCACGCCTGTAAGCCCAGCACTCTGGGAAGCTGAGGCAGGAGGATAGCTTGAGACCAGCCTGGGTAACATAGTGAGACCTCATCTCTACCAAGAAAGATTTAAAAAATTAGCTGGGCATGATGGCACATGCCTGTAGTCCTGACTACTAGGGAGGCCAAGGTGGGAAGATCACTTGAGTCCAGGAGTTCAAGGCTGCAGTGAGCTATGATTGGGCCACTGCACTCCAGCCTGGGTGACAAAGCGACACCTCATCTCTAAATAAATAGATGTATAGATAGGAGAACAAACTGCTCTGGAGTTTGTGGTTTTTAGTTTTTAAATTTTATTTTAAGGAGAGAAAAGAACATAAGACATTCATTTAATTCTCAACCATAAACATTTGAACTGTAAACAAAATGAGAAATTATAAAACAATTTTTTGTCCTTTTAATCCTAAGAGAAAATTAAGATCATGTACCCTCAAATAAACCTCAGTTTCCTATATTTAAACTTTATTTTTCCTCATAAGAAAACTACAGCAATCTTGCAATGTCACTTGGTTACATTTGCTTTTCCTCCAGATGAAGCTAAATTGCTATATGAGATTGGATTTTATATTTTTCATATTAAAGATGAAAGTGATAAAAATTGAACAATTGACTCAAAAAGTAGGTTTATAAACCTCTAAACAAATTTGAATACAAACAAGATTATAATCAGTGAAACAAATTGTTTTGGCAACTTCAAATAATATTGGATGTTTAACAAAAGGAATTAGGTTAACTCTTCTAAATATAACTCCTTTATGCCTTTCAAATGTAATTTAAAGACAAACTACTCAGGATGAGAAGGCGTGGGGAAAAGTACACATTAATGAAAGCTGTATACTAAAGCAGACCTTCAGCAACAGCTTATATAACTATTTAAGAAATGTTTAGAAATTCTTCGTATTCTGTTTTCAAGCAGTTATGCAAATCAATTTGGTGACTTTTTACCTTAAATTCTTCAAGGTGTTTTTCTAGAATTGACCCAAGTTGCCCTGCTTCACATCTCACCCATTTACAGTTCCAGGTTGGGATCAGTATTTCAAATAAAGTAGGGACTCATCTAAACTGTATGTCAGAAGAGATGTTTCTGGCTAAATTCACAGTTTCAGTTAAGATTCTTTTGCCACAGTAGTATCTGTACTTCTCAGGGCACCACTGTCTCGCAAACCAGTTACATCTTAAAACCAGCAATTGCTGTGAGCTAGGCTGACGCCACAGCACTCACTCTAGCCAGGGCAACAGAGTGAGACTCTCTCAAAAAAAAAAACAAAAACAAAAAAAAAACAACCCAGCAATTGCTAGTCTTACTTTGTTAATTTAAAAAAAAAATTTTTTTAAAAGTGGGCAGTGAGCATTTTTCCATACCTCTATGTGGGCATATGGTACAACAGTTACTTCTTACTATAGGCAGTTGCTTATGTTCCCAGACATCATTATTAGAATAGCAGTTCCAGAAAAGTAGGCACGTGGAAATGTACATGTTACTCCTGTGAACTTTGAAAATCTTTGATATTTTTGGAAACTTTAGGCTGTCTTTAATTTTTATGTTCATTGTGAGACAACACACTATTTGGGTATTATGAGACCAGTCTGTCTTGAGATATTAGTTATTTAAATGAGGTGTTAAGTGGAGGTAATGTTAGGTTAGTATAAAATTGTGAGAGGTGTTTTTCTGAGTTGTGTGCCCATTTGCCTCAAATTTTTCTAGTATTAATTGCCTCAGGTAGTGAGTCTTCAGCTCTGTAATACCTGATACTATTTAAGGTATCTTGTGAGTGCAGAATATAAGGACTACTAAAACTTCTTTTTAAACATAGGTGCCTTTTCTTTGTACTTTCCATCCGATTCCTTCCCAAAGTGGAAGGTTCTTTCCCATTTCTTTGTATATATTAGGCATTCAAATAATTGTTAATTGGTCTTGATGTGAAATAGTTATATACTAGGGATTTTCTTTCATACAGATACCTACTTTTACTGCTTAGTCATCACAAGAGAACTTTTGTGTCATTTCTCTGATGCTACAGGTAAAAGAATACTCAAGTAAATGTAACCCTATTAATGGTGTCAGAAAAAGTGAAGCATTATGTATCTATATGTTAATTTATATTCATCTGATAGTTACTCCTGTGATTTAATTTGGTTGAAAGAGTTCTTTGGAAGATTATTTCCTTCTTCAGGGGGATGGGCAAGATTTAATGCAATATTCAGCAGTTAAAGACACAAAACTAGAAGAGAAGGGGGAAAATTTAATTCAAATTTTTATTTAATCAAAAGTCAAAATGTGAGTACTTGATTAGTAGAGTTATTAGTGAAACATACAATCAAAAGATAGTGAATTCTCAGAGCTAGCATGTTTTAATCCAGTCCCACTGAACTATATCTTGATTTCATGTTTATCATATTAGTTTGTATCTTAATTGATATAACTCAAAAGTGTCATGTAGACATCTCAAACTAAGGTGCTCACCCAGGTGCTTTGTTTCATAGCCGGGCTGTGTGCCATGAAAAGTAGTTCCCAGAATTTAGATGAGATTGGGAAAGACATTGCCCAGAAGAGTTCCCCTTACGGAACTCAGGATAATCTAATACGGGGCTAGATACTGCCCTAGGGCATTCTATACCTAAACTACCCGAATGTGCCTTTCTGAATATTACCAATTGTTCCAGCAAGTGAGCATAAATATAACTGCCATTCTTTGTTAATATTTTATGCCTATGTAATTTTCAAGTAGTTGTGTGATGGATTATTACTTTTTAGTTGCTTAGACCCCAAATACTACATTTGAATAATATTCCATGTTTTTAACAGGAAGAAATGCTGCAATCCAACAACACTCATCTCAAATATGAGGGAAGTTGGGATAAAAGTTATTAGTATAGGAATTTGAGAATATACATAGTTTTTACTAGTTTGTATTATACATAAAATATTTTTAAGCGAAAAAACACCTAGTCTCTAAACTTAAATAAAGTCTATTTACTTTTCTGCTGTACATTGTACAGTTACTGTGCAATTGGAATGATCAAGTTACTGATAAATCCCCTGGTGATCACAGAAAAGTAATCTTCCCTACTCTATAGAAGAAGACTAAAACTAGAATTTAAAATTTTGTTTGAAATTTTGCTTTCCTCAATGGCAAAGATCAAGTGACTGGGTTTTTACTTAATTCTAGTTTAGGACGTCCCCCACTCCCTGTTAGCCACTCTCATTGAGGCCTGACTGAAAAATAGCTTAAATATAAGGAGTTTGAAAACTTTAATGGACAAGAAGGAAACTCTTGAGGTTATCAGGAAAATTGGGGATTAAAAAGATTTAGAAATAGTAATTGTCAAATTTAAATTATGAGAGTCCTCAATGCAAATATGCTTAATTCCTCACTCTGTACATACTTAACACTTCTTGTTCCTTTTTAGGTTTAAGAAGTGAGTATAGTTAAGAAAAATGTTAAATGTGAACCCACTTTACTGATTTCCCCACCCCTCAGCAAGGACTCCAAGATATAACATGGGAAGGCAGGAGAGACATTTTCCTTTTCAAGGGAATTATTTCTCTCGCAGCATTTGTGAGGATATTGAGGCCATTCTTCTACTCATCTTGACTTTAAATCTTTCTACTGGGTACCCCAGAATGGTTCCAAGGTCAGTACTGTCTTTCTTTAGCTTATTTCAGCTTCTACCATGTGTTCTTCCATGTTTATTGAGCCTAAATTAATCTGCTCAAGGAGAAAAGATAAATATAGAACAGTGGGAGTACTTTCATGTTTAATATGCAAGGGCATAGAACTTTAGGAAACAATTTGGAAATATTTTTTCTTGAAATATTTGTGGTTATAGGCTAGTTTATGACTTTCCTTCTCTCACTGAAATAAAAAGAATATATAACAGCACAGGTGACATTTGACAGCTTGGGCGTGTTGTTACTTCCTAATCTTGAGAACCACAGTTTGCTGTTTTAGAGGTATCTGAGAGGTTCCGGATAAAAGGTGTTTGCCGAATGTTCTTAGACCTTGAGTGTGCTGGATGCCCTAAAGTAGGAAAGGAATTTGTAGCAGAAGCTCACGATGAAGAACCAGACATTCCGGGCCATCTGAGATCTTGCGATGAGAAGGCGCCAGGCGATGAGGAAGAGTGCAGTGTTAAAGAGGTAGTGAATATTTCGGAGCCTGGGGAACAGACATACATAACCAAAGTTAAAACTACCAGATATTCAGCTACATTATCTGAAGATAAATGTGTCTTTTCCTGGCTGTGACCAGCAAATATTTACGAAGTACTCACAAGGTACGTGGCATGACTTGATGGCCTTAGGTTTTTGTATCTTTCATTTCCATAATGTTCTTTCTGAATAGTCAGATTTCTACCATATTTCCCTAATTTCTCTTGTGTACCTTTCTCTTCTTGAAGCTTTTTACAAGCATGACTCACTTAATCTTTCTTAAATATACTTTGATCATATTACCACCTCATAAATTTTCACTGGTTATTGTTCACTAGAGGGTAAATTCTAAAGTTCTTAGCCTGCTATTTAAGGTTCTTCCTGTTTGCAATCTATGTTTCCATCCTTATCTGTGCACTACAAACCCTCTGCTTCTACCAGGATTATACCAGAGTACTAACAATTCTTTGTCCTACAGGGATTATGACTGAAAGAAATTTAAGGAATTTGAAGGAACTGGAGCGTAAAGTGTTTTTCCCAGGTTAAATGGCATGATAAGGTCTCCTGTCTGTTGGATATTCCTAACATCACATTATGATAGGGTGTTGTAGAAGAAACAGAAACTTGGGTTCAAATCTGGCTCCTGTACTTACTATGTGTTACCATGGACAAGTTACTTGTGGTGGTTGAGCCTAAATACCTGCCTGATAAAATAGGAATAACAAGAATACTACTTGCCTTTTACAAATGCGGTGAAGTCTAAATGAAACAGTGTATTACAAGGCATAGTATAGAGCACAGGACTGGTAATGCAGTGAATACTTAAGAAATGTTAATTCCTCCCCTTCCCTGCTCAAATTTTATGTCTGGTATAAAATCAGATACATGGTAGGTGCTCAATAAATATTAACTGACTGATTATACTTACCTTTTTAAGTGTTGCTTTGCTTCTGGGATCCCAGCCATATCTTCTTTCAATAAGTACTTTTTTATTCCCAAAACATAATTTTCAATGTATTCTAACCAGTTCAACTGGCGCACATCAAAGTTGAATACCTGAAAGGCAACGAAGATTGTTGATTACCAAAATCATGCTGCTGAAAATTGATGACGTTTCTTTTACATAAATGAATGACATTCCCTTTGGTAGACATAGATTGGAGCTCTCAAAAGGAGAGAATATTTGAGCTATTTTTTCAAAGGTACTGGTAGTGTGGATTACCATTTACATAGGAGTATTTAAACATGGGCCAAGCAAAATAATTGATATTTAGAAGGTCTTGTAAGGAAACTTTAAAGGAACTGATATTACTTAGTGTAGTGAAAGCTTATGGTTGGCTTGGTATACTTTTTCAAGTAAATGAGGAGTAATTATTTTTGAAAGTGATGAAATAATACATTAGTGACCAAAACATAAATTATGCATTTGTTCCTTTTCCCTTAAATTTTGGTGTTGTGCCCTTGGCCTGGCATCCTTTCTGATAGCATTACCAGGTCATTATGCAGATTGGAGTAAGCTTTGGGAAGCAAAGCCTTAAGGAATAGGTTAGCAGAACTTGTACTTTAAAAAAACAGTGATGGTGAAAGAAAAGAGAAGTGATCTAAGAGGAGGGAGTAGAAGGGGAAGAGGGAGAAGGGACAGACTGATTATTTGGGAAGAGAAAGTTTGCTACATAGAGGATAGATATTAAGAGTGACAATAAGGCCAGACGCGGTGGCTCACGCCTGTAATTCTAGCACTCTGGGAGGCCGAGGTGGGCGGATTGCTTGAGCTCAGGAGTTCGAGACCAGCCTGAGCAAGAGTGAGACCCCGTCTCTACTAAAAATAGAAAGAAATTAATCCGAGAATTAAAACTATATAGAAAAAATGAGCCGGGCATTGTGGTGCATGCCTGTAGTCCCAGCTACTCGAGAGGCTGAGGCAGAAGGATTGCTTGAGCCCAGGAATTTGAGGTTGTTGTGAGCTAGGCTGACACCACGGCACTCCAGCCTGGGCAAAAGAGTGAGACTTTTTTTTTTTTTTTTGAGACACAGTGACAATAAGGAAAGAGGATTAAAAAAATTTTTTGCATCATTAAAAATATATTCTCTTTTTGATTTGTTCCTGAAAAGCTAGAGTAAAGGTTTTAATTGCTTTCAATAGATTTTATTTCTTCTGTGCTTTCCTTGAAAATGATGCTGTGCTGAGACAGGCTTGTGCGGGGCCCAGCTTTATATGGATTACAGATAGAGACAGAATGAGTTGAGAAGAGAAACCTGATAGGTCATTCTTGAGCCATCCAGGCTACAGCTAAAAAGAACTAAACTGGAGAAAGAGAAGGAGGAAATGAGCTTCAAATGTAACACAAAAACAGTTTTGATTGACTATAAAGAACTTGGGGCAATAATTGTTAAACAGTAGAAAGAGTATCAGGAAGATTGTGGGATCATCTCTGGAAGTATATGAAGTATTAGGTAATTCTTGGAAGGTTTGGGTTTGGCCCTGTTGAAATAATCAGATAAAAGATTGCATCGCTGGGTGGATTTGGTTTTACAGGTGTTCATTTGGTGTATTTGGAGAGACTGCCCTGAAAAATGAACTTGTGCTAGCATAAAAAAATTTCCAATGTTTAATAGATCTTAGCAAGTGGAGGGTTTGTTTATGGTGCCTCAGTCCTCCCCGCTGGGCACTTCTCCCTCTCCTTGGATATGCCGCACTCTCGGATCACTTTTTTCCTGTTTAAAAGCTGTTATCAGTAAAGAGTTTCTTCTCTCCTGTACAATGAAGGAGAATTGCCTGATTAGTCTTAACTGACTAAACTTCAGTGAGTCCTCACTATGAAGGATTTTAATAGCAAAAAAGTCTACATTCAAATAAATGATGTTCTTAGAACAATAGCTGGCACACAGTAGGCATTCAATAAATATTTGAATACATTAATGAATTATAGAATTTCAGTCAAATTAATTTTAGAAGCCAAAATGTTTCTTTTTTGTTAAACAGCAATTTCTTCTGTCATTTGATCTTTATATTAGTTTCCTTTTTGCAGACAGCTACTCTGATGGAGGCTTAGATTGTACCAAATAAACGGCATAAATTGTCAGAACCAAAAAGCCAATTACCACTAAAAGTCAAGTTTATTGACCTTAAAATGGTTATATTATTTTTTGAGAAACCTCTTGGGTTTCATTCTTAACTTGCATCTTTCCTCCAGAGTCTATAATTAGCTTTGTTTCCCTTTATCTAGGAAATATTAAGCTTCTAAAGAATGTAATTGAATTTGATATCTTAAAGATTTAGTAGTTCTCTAGGGCTACTTAATTCTGCCTCCTTTATATGCAAGTAAAATTTTTAATCACAGAAAACCATCTTAGACCTGGGAGGAAAGTAACTAAATATTAATATCCCCATTATGAAACTACATTTTTCTTTTCACTTTGCCACCAGAAAGCTCAAGAACAAATTCCCTAACTATAGCAACTTAGTAGGATCTTTGAGATTACATATGAACATTCTGGTTTTTTACTCTAAGCTGTGACTTCATATTCTGATTCACATTTTCCCTGGTTTTGTGTTTTATTTCTATTTTGTTATTGTATGTATTTGTTGCAAGATATCACAAAGCTTTATGAAATTTGGAGTATTAACAAAGAGAGCAAATGTAACAAGGTCCAGAGAGCTTCATAGACTTGTCCAAGAACTGAATTGCTTTTTGAAAGTAATCCCATTATTACTTTGTTTGGATATATTTTTTCACAGTATCACTGAATATCACTTATTTGTCTATATATTAATAAACAGAGGCTTTTATTTTTATACTGTTTCACATTTTAAGTTAGATTTCAGTGAGGCTCTAGTTTGGAATTTTGATTCCATATGGCAAAGCAAACTGAATTCTGAGCCACAGCGGAATACGGCAGTTACATTTAGATCTATTACTTTTTGAAAGTTAATTTGAGAGCACATGTTAAATCCACTAAAGCTTTGGTTGTTTCTTTTCACAAAATTTTCAATCATTTTAAGTTGAAATAGTAAAATGTCAAAAATGAAACTAAGCTCATTACCTCTTAAAATTATTTACATGAGTAAATGACATAGAAAAAATACAATAAGGATAAGCCTACATAAAATTTGAAGCTAATTTAAAAACACAATAGCTTGAGTTTATTTGTTTTTATAAGCTGATTTAATCATCATCCATGCATTTCAAACACTAGTGCTCAAAGAACTTTGTCTATACAAGGTATGTAAACATTTCTAAATAGCTGTATTTCATGTTAATTTGAGAGGTACTCAGCACTGATTTCAGATAAAATATCCTTCTAAATTTCACCTGGTTTACTTAATACAACGTTTATGGTGTTTGAAATTGCAAGTAACCGTTAGGTTCCATGACATGAAATAATTCTAGGGCTTGATTTTGAATCATGCTCCATGAGGCTGATATATAAAAGTAAAACCCTTAGCTGGTAAGTGAGGATAGCTCACCATCTTCCATTTACTTCTCAATGTGACTTGGTTTCTATATACTGTCAAGTACAGAATAAACCAAGAAATACTTTTTAAAAAAATTTGTTTCTTAGTGGAAAATGTCAATCCTTTAAAATTTAGTTGAAAACTTTAGTAATGGCATGAGGACATACTCAGGGAACACATGATTCTTTGAGAAAAAAGAGCTAGGAACAGGTACAAAGTATGAAAGATTTCTATATTTGTGAATTTCAGAATATGCAAAGATTTGAGGACTTGTCCTTTATGACTGCCAAGCAGCTAAAGAAATTAATGGTGTTGATACTAAGCAATTAAACTGAAGGCCCATCTTGAGAAATAAATGTCTGAATTGTTGGAGGAAAATTGACGATGCTAGTGAGAGGGCAATACTGAGGGAGGTCGGTCTCAGAAGAGATACAGTGCATAGGTGTAGGGATTAGCTTTAAAAAGATAAGGGCAGGCACCAGGGTTCATGCCTATAATCGCAGCTACTAGGGAGGCAGAGGTGGGAAAATCACTTGAGCTCAGGAGTTCAAGACCAGTCTGAGCAACATAGTGAGATCCCTGTCTCAAAAAAACTAGCCAGGCATGGCTGCCTGTGCCTGTAGACCCAGCTACTTGGGAAGCTGAGGTGGGAGGATTGTTTAAGCCATGATCACACCACTGCACTCCAGCCTGGATGACAGTCTGAGACCTCATCTCTTAAAAAAAAAAAAGTTAAGAGGAAACTGTTAACTGTGGAGATGCTGAATGGTTTTTATTTGACAACAGTGGATGAAAGAGTTTATGAGTAATAAAATCATTATTTTTCATTGAAGTCATATGCTGTGGAGTGTAGGGAAAGACAGGTACCCAGAAGTACTGAGGGTTGCTATAATATTAATAGAAAAGATGACTGCTGAGGGGTTAAGAAAGGATTGAAGTGCAGTTGATGAAACATGACTATAGAACAGCAGTGAAGATTTGAATCCAAGAACCTAGGTCTCTTATGTACATTCAGCTTGTTTCCTGTGACTGTGTTAATAGCATTGACTAATTTTCTCAGCAAAAAACCCCCCAAACCTGTGTATATAACCAAAGCTTCCTGTATTCATCAGCTTTCCAGGTCAAATAATTTTAAATTTCAAATGAGTAAGATTTTCCTGTTGTGTAAGTCAGTGCTATACTTACTCTCTGGTCTTCAGGACTCAGCTCGGACATCAGCATTTCTGTATTGTATGTGCTCCATTCCCAACTCCGGTTGATGAAATACTCCATCATGGAAAGAGTTTTTAAAAGTCGATTCATGAGCTTTGTCATCCTGAGGTGAAAGATCAGATAGGAACAAATATCAGCACACCATAGATGGCTGCTTCCCTGTCACTGTCTAAGGATAGATGAGAAATTATTTTTAAGCAAATATAAAAATTATCCCTCTGTCTTTCCCCCAATTCCTCATGGAAATTCTTTTTTTTTTTTCTTCCACATTAACTCTGTCCATTCAACAGGAAAGGAAAGGGGATGAATCTAAAGGAGCTTGTTCTACTTGGCATTTTAATACCATTAAACTCCTCTTCCTCTTTTCTGATATCTCTTTCTCAAGTGTAGCAAACCTACTTTAAAAACGAGCCAACTAGTCACCTTAATAACATACTGTTTATTTTTTAAATTCTGAAGTAGATAATTAGAAAACCTATTTCTCTTCTTTATTATTTGTTCTTGGATTTTTTTTTTAAAAATTGATGGGACTTGAGGTCTTAGTATATATTAATAATTTCCAGGCAGAAGTATTGACTATATTAGCATCTGATGAAACAAAACCAGTTGTCAATTATAACACAGATTTAAGAGAAAAGAATTTATTGTTAATATCCTACTCTGTGTTAGGCACAGTGCTAATACTTTAAAAAAATATTTTCTCTGCTAATTTTGATAACATCCTTGTTAGGTAAGTATTTGTGTATATTTTTATGAATGGGTAACATGAACTTAAGTGTCAAAGCCAAATTCCAGCCCAGTTTTGACCTCAAAAAACCTCTGCCTGTGTAATCTCACTACCCTGTGTCTCATTAATTAAGATGAACAACATTTTCAATCCCATGGTCAGGACTTGGACCAGATCTTTGTGAACCTCCCAACTTTATAACAATTTACAAAAAACATTCATATGCAGTGTTATTTGATCCTAACAATATGACTGTGAGGTAGTCTGGATTTACATTATTCGTCTTCAGTCTACAGAAAGATTGTGTTCAAGGTCAACATAGCTAATGCTCAAACCTAGGTCTTTTAGCTAGAAGTCACCTTTAGTCTACAGAGCATTTGATTTTATTTTAGTTAAGCCAATCTTTGTAGAAGTGATTACTGTAGTTGACTCAGTAATTATTTATGATGCTATCCTGGGGATTTGGTCTTATATCCGGTCAAGTCCTAATGCCCATGTACCTAATGACTCATGAGGTACTTCTCTCACTGTATTATGGAGAATTTCTTAGGCAGGAAGTAGATATCATTGTGCCTTGATACACACATCATAATAGGGTTCCACTTAACTATCATTATCTAAGTCTTTATTCCCCAATTCTGATGCAATTGATGTGATTTCAATTAATTTTTTAAAAAGAATGGTTGTACACAATATCACTGTATGTATAGGACTATATCAGCTTAA